GGTTATTATTAAATTTGAGGTCCAGCGGCATTTTTTGAATGTCTGATCCATGTCCTCAACTCTTGACTCTTAGGCATCTTGTTATCGGGAGGACCATGCTGCTTCTTTGATTTCAGTAAGAATTGGCTGCTTTCAGCCCCACAAGCCTCCCTGACGTGTTCCTGGCAGCACAAGACTGCCAGCCTGGAGCAAGCACCTAAGGAGTCCTTTGCCAAATCCTCACCCAGCCCAGCACTGTCCTTATGCACACATGCAGATTCTAGACTCGTCGCAGAGCAATTGTTAATGAATGGAGGGCGAGAGAATGGGCTTTAATGCTCACCTGAAACGTGGGCTGCAAAAGGCTGCTCTCCATTAGGAAACACTGGTTTTCCTGAAGCCCTATTAAAATGGTGTTGTCCAACTCTGGATGAGAAAGAAGCGAGCAAGAAGTTCTACCTGACAAGTTTGAACTAGAAACAGGCAGAGCCATGGCAAGAAAAAAACACCCCTAAGTCCACAGTATTACCTTTTTTAAACCACTTTATTTGTGTGTGTGTTTCTATAAACATTTTAACTACTGGACATTTCATAAACCGTAAAAACAAACTGTCCTACCCCCAGAATGCAATCAATCCGGCTCGTCGGTCAGACCACAGCGACGCTGCCAGCGCAGGTAGGTGGTATCCTAAGATAACCTCCCGCTGGGCACAAGCCAGCGAGGTGCTCGCTGCGGCAGATCCTGAGCCTCTGAGCGAGGGAGAGGAGACAGGTTTAAAGACCTGGCTGCTCTCCTCCTCCAGGGATGCAACGGGAGAGAAAAGGGATGTGAATAAACAATTTGCCTTGATGTAAAGTCAGAGTCCAAGGGAGATGCTGCGACACCCCCTTGCGCCGGAGCAGCCTCGCGGGCTGTGTCAGCGCTAGGGACTGAAACCCATCAAAACACTCGTTCATTGCAAATGGACTAAATGCTCCCTGACGCCTCGCTTGCCGGCAACGGGTGCGAGCAGCAGGCGCTGCTTAAAACCGGCTTTGCTCACCTGCCAGGGCGCAGGTCTGAGTGCTGATTCCTCGTGGGCGGGTGAGCCCAGCTGTAAGGCACGATGGGGAGGAGAGATGGGGTGGTAGGGGAGGCCCAATCCAGCCGGCTGATCCAACGCTCATCACCAAGGACCCCGCTGTCCCAGAGGAAAGCACCGTACTGCACGGGTGATGCAGAGCAGTGTGTGGACTCTCAGTTCCCCAGGTTCATGTCCGTGCCATGGACGAGCCAAACCAGGCGGAAACAGATGGCCAGGAATCCGGTGCCCAGGAGATCCCCCAGGGCAGTGAGGTAGGGGATGGAGAAATTATCTGGATCCAGCGCCTTCCTCCACATCAGGCGCACAATTAGGTCAGCCACGTAGAGCAGGATTCCCACCTGAGGAGAGGCAAGACAGGCCCTGCGGTGAGGCAGCAAGAAGGTAATGCACAGCCTCCCTCAGCTCACAGCCAAAATGACGCGGCCATGGCCAAGGCACCAAGAGCTCACCGGGACCGCCGAGAGGTAACACCTTCCCCAGAGAACCACTGTTTCTCTGCGGGATCGAGCTGGGCTAGGATGGGTGGAGCTGGCTCAAACCCTTGGGCACTGCATTGCCTGGCATCAGCCATGGTGCCACAGCCCCGTGCTGCCAGCCCCAAGTGCGGGGACCACGCCTGAACTGCTCACCAGCATCGCACGCCCCTAACCAGGAGTCTGGCCACACCAAAAGCGTCTCCCAAAGGTACGGTTCCCACTTCCCATGCCACGAATGGGAGTGCTCCCGTTCGCTGCAGCAGGAACAGGGCTGATGCAAACATGCAGCCAGCCCCAAGGGACAAGTCTGCAGCCAGATTTTTTCTCTTCGTCCTTCTTTTTTCCATTAGAAATTCAGAACGTGTCTTTGCTTTTCCTAAAAGTCTCAGTGGACAACTGGAGTTTGAGGCAGTTTTTACATCAAAGTTATCCCAAGCAGCACTGACATGTTCAAAAAAAGAAAACCATTTCTTTTTTTTTTTCATCTCAACAGTTTTAAAATCTTTGTTGTGATTTCTTTTAATTCCTATTTCATTCCTGATTCTGATAAACAGATGGAGGAAAAAAAATGCTTCAGTTAAAGATTAAAGACTGACTAGTTAATTGAATTAAGAAGGGAGAGAGAGTTTGCACCCCACATCTGCGGTCCCTCCGTGGGAGACTACAGCACAACAGGAACCAAAGAGAGAGGCGGCATTTCTAAAGGTGAAAACAGCAAGCTGGGTGGGGGGAGAAGGAGGAGGAGAGATGGGTGAAGCAAATTAAATAACAGAATCACAGAAATTGAAGCTGGATGGAAACTTAAGAGTTTTTTTTATAGACCATTCCTCTGCCTCGACACAGGATCAGTTATGTCCACATCTTTCCTGATGGTCGTTTGTTTAACCTATGCTAAACGACCCCCAAAGATGGAGATGCCACACTCTCAGCAGTCAGTCCCATGGCAATTTTTTTTTTTCCCCTGTTCTTGTTTTTCCCAAGGCTTAACATAAATCTGCCTTTTACCATTTGAAACACATGATTTCATGTTGCATCCCTAGTGACCACAGAAAAAATGTTATTTTGTACCTCCCTACAGAAACTTGGTGTTAATCAGATTTTTCTCAAGCCTCTCTTCTTTGCACTAGCTAACCCCAGTCCATTCAGTCATTCTTCTCAGGTCAGGTTTTTTTAGGCCTCTGATCTTTCTCTTTGGCCTTCCTCCAGCTGACCCAAACTTTGCCCTCTCTTTCTGTCTGTCTTTCTTTATAGAAACTATAATGGAGGGGGAAAAAAGAACCAGGCTGAGCGTATTCTCCTCTGCTGGCCTCCATGGGAATCTTTCGGGGTCAGTGTCGTTGCTGGGATTCTGCTCTTTACACTGTCACTTATTCTGCGTATTTTCATGCTTGGCTCTGGTTGAGGAGTTACCTCGATGCATAAAGAGAAGAATAAATACTTTCCTTTACAACTATGGCCATGCTGCTGGGCTTCAGGTTGTGCAAAGGTCGAGAAAAACTGTTTACACACACAAGGAATTCACCCACAGACATGAGGCTGCTTGTAAGGCGAAGCGAGAAGTCAGCTACCTCACCCTGCAAATTAATGAATCACTGATTTAAAAGGGCAAGTGAAGTCAGAGCCTCTGTGAGTTTAAGCAACAGCCACAGGCGTTTCTGAGTGAGAAGGCAAAGTGTACAGGGCAGGCAAAACAGTGGAAGGGAGCAGGCAGAACACATTGGATGTACTGCCCACTGCCTACCCAGAACTTCATCTTTTGAAGATGGACTGCTCAAGCCTGGGTTTCCCATCGCTTTTGATCCACATGGCCCTGCTGAGAGGGGTCCCCAGGTCTTCACCATCATACGTGCAACTGGTTTCTAAATTGAGCGGGGAAAGCTGCTGGCTGGGGCTCACAGCCTCTCACTTGCCCCTAACTGGGATAACCAGTGCCAGACTAGAAATACCTGGGGCTTAGAGGCTCAAGGAGTGAACACACTAAAAGGAGGTACCACCTGCAGCAAGAGGTGCCTCCTCGCTCAGTGTGTGTCTGCACACTTCCTGCAGCTCAGCGGGCAAGGGTAACGTGTTCCTTATCTCACGTCTGACCCCTCACTCACCCTTGAGGGCACTTGTGCTCATCGCCAGACCCTGGCGATGTGGGTGAAATATTACCGGACCCAAAGAAGACACACGATGCTTGGGAGGAAGTACATCCGAAACTATTGGAAATGTGGGCCACTGCTGGAAGTTTTAGTGTGACTCCTGTTTAGCCTGGAGACGGTTTTGTTTTCACAGTATCTGAGAGGTTCCTTTTGGATGAGAGGTTGGGGTTTACCTGCAGCAAAGCAGCACTCAGATAGAGCATCACAAAGGTGAAGGACAGAGACGTGTGGCCTCCCTGCAGCAGGTGGATGGTGTAGAGGAACACGAGGTGCCCTGGGATAACCAGGAGGAACAGGACTCGGGCTGACTTGGAATTCACCTCTGCAGAGGACAAAGACAGAAACAGGGATGAGAATTGCTGCAGATGGTGGGGGGAGGGCAGGATGCAGATGCGTATTTTAATGCTGGTACATAGACTTGGGGCTGTCTCCTCCCACCAACCACATTGCTAATGCCTTGTCTAGATCACACAGCAATCTGGAGCATCTGCAGTATAAGCCCAGCAGCTCTGTCTCGCACTGAAACTATGTGCCAAAGACGTGCTCCATTCTGATCCGCTTCTTGCAAACACTCCTCTCAGCTGCTCTCTGCCTCCCACTGCTTCTGCTCTGCCTTGCTGAAACCCACTTTCCCAGTTTTTAGTTTGCTTTAGCAGTAACTCCCAACCTAGCAGGGAAAATCAAGAGGAACCTGCAATCTAAACTGACAACAGACCCAAAGCCAGTTTTGTTGATGATGAGGTTTATCCATTGCTGAAGATGGAGGAATTGGGGATTTTCAGCAAGGTTATGCTCTTTACACTCCTCTTTCCACAGGTGACGGCTCTAGACTGGCCATAGTTAAAATGACAGTTAGATCAAACCTGAAATTCTTTTTCAATTACTTTCTTTTGTGCTCCCTGAAGGCTAGTTTCTTTGCATGACAGTGAGGAAGTATAACACATGCTTATTTCCAAGCTGCCCACTGCAAAGATGCTTCCTCTCCGATCTGCACATCTTCCCTGTGAGGGGGAAAGGGAGTTCTGCCTCTGAAACCCACCTAGTCCTTCGCCAACCAGGCTTGACAAAGGAGCTATCTGTGATGACATGCCTTGAAACAGGAACAACTAGGGTTCAAGGTCTACCTGATGAGAAGAATGTGGTGCATGGGTTGGGCCAGTTCTGCCTCATCTTGTATGGCAAAACTCCAGGCATGCTCCAGAAGTGAAGGAATGTGGATATACGGCTGGCCTGGATGGCGACCAGATTCCCCCCAACACCTACGAGGACAAAACACATAAACCTGTAAACCACCTTCACCGCAGCAGGAAACACAGTTTAAAACTTAGCCCAAGGCGAAGTCAATCTGCACTCACATACAAGCTCGCTGACAGCAGCAGTGACAGAAAAAGACAACCTGATCCCACGTCATGGGGATGCTGCGCTATTCGCTTGGCAGTAACGGCTCTTAGAAATCAGGAAGGCTCCAGCGATTGTCTCCCTTCTGCTTTACTGGAAACACCCTCCCTTGCTTCCCAGCACCGGCTGTAAATGCCACGTGGCCTCTGAAGATGATGTAATTGCACCTGGTTTGGCGCAGTCTGTGAGCAATACCTGGGGCCAGCGGTGCAGGCAACGGCAGATACTGCTCCCGGCCACTTCTTGGATTTACCCACCCAGAGAGCCGTTATCGTTTAAAAGACAACAAACATCACAGAGTGATTATATGTCTGTCTGAAGGCATCTAACACTCATTAAATGAGAAGGAATCATATGAGAATGAATCAGAGCCCAAATATGTTAGGTAATTAAAAGGCAATTAATTCCTTCCAGACTGATTAATTCCAGAAAACACGAAAAAACAGCTACATTTTCCAGCAGAAAATAGAGGGATGATGAACTATGGAGCAAACCTCCACCACCCTGAGTACTTGCAGGCTAGAAATGCCACAGAAAAGATAACAATGAGCCAGATCCTACAGGCTTCTCATGTTTTCCCTTCCTCGAAGAAGGAAATGCTCCATCATTCGATATGAGATTTGCCAGAGTGGAATCACAGTGAAAATACTAATACTAGCTCAAAAGAGCTCAAGATGGGAGCTTTCTGAATCGCTCACTGCCACGCTTCGCAGGACTCCCCTGCACAGGCAGAGCGAAGAGCTACCTGTGCAAAGGCACGGAGCACTGCGTAACTCTGCCACCAGCTCTGCCAAACAGGTCGCCCGCCCCCACAGAGCGATGTCTGGGTCAATCATTGTTCAACTAAATTGCTGTTGAAGTACTTTCCTCATCAGGCTCTTTTTGGCTAACCATGCTGGAAAGAGTTTGTCAGCAGGGTGGCTGTCTTTATGCAGATCCAGTAAGGTGACAGCTGGGTGACACCCTCTGACGCTGCAAGAGGACACCACGCTTTGAGGGTGGCATGAGGCCAAGCCTGCCCTGGGATCGTGGGTGTCCCTGGAATGGGCCTGGCCTGCAGAACATTACAATGTCAGAAAAATAACCCAGTGGATCCTCAGCTATGCCAGGATCCCGAGCAGTTTGTACTGCTATGTGTGTATATAAAAGTGCTGTGAGGCTTCAAACATAAATATACACACAAAAGATGTTGACATATATATTAAAATCCCTATATATACCTTTCTATATATTTACACACACCTATAATCTTAATGTATTAATCGTTATCAACAATCTGTATAAGGGATGATTGCACAGCTCAAATTGCTGAGTGGAGAGAGACAGGGAAAATGGATTTATTCTGACATCCTTAGTAGGTTTGATATTATGAAAGTAAAAGGTGCCAGCGTAGCTCTCAGGGACAACTACCAGATGCTGTTAACCCTTCCCACAGCTGTGCCAGTATTTTTCAGCCTTGCCTGCTATTTTGCTCCAGAGGCGCTTCAAGATAGGAGTAAGTAGGGATGTAATGGGGACCAGTAGCTTCACTTCCACTCATGAGGGGAGCAGGGACTTGAACACAGACCTCTGTGTAGGGGCAACAGTGGATACCATAACCCTGGGGCAGTAGGGTGAGGTATAAATAAAAGCATGCATAAACCCGTCCCCTGCCCAACCTACCATTAATCACAGGTGTGAAAACTGCCATGCCTTCAAAGTTTGGGTCAGTTACAGTTTTGTCCAAGATGAGCCCACCAATGCTGTTAAAAAAGGACAGGCAATGAGGGTGGATGAACCTCTCTTCCCAGGGCAATTCCTACGCTGTGAAAATAGCACACTGAGAGGAGTCACTGCTGCTTCTCCATTGCCAGAGCTGGACACGTTACTCCTTTACAGCTCAGTTTTCACCAATAAATAGGCTTACAGTTTTTGGTAATGGCATAAAGATATCAGGAAGACCTCCCTGCCCACCCTTGAGCAAAACTGAGAGTAGCCAGGGAAGCTTTATCATCCTCCCCAAAAGTTTTGCTACACTTCTACACTGGTCTTAGCAGTTTTTTTAAAATTCTGTCCCAGATCTCAGCTGGGTCTGAAAGAATGAACTACCTGGTTCTACATTCACCAGTCTTCTGTCTTTAGAACTGCAAAAAACAAGTCTGAAGTCTATTTGTGTTATCATCTCCCTTTCTGGTTTCTTGGCTTGCACCCACATGGTGCATAGATGTATGAGTGAGACTTAAAATGACAACTTGCTTTTTCCAGTCATTTGGGGGCTCCCTAGCTGCTATTTCACAGCCTGCTGGAGGGCCACCAATGGCTGAGAAGCACTGGAAAAACACCCTTCTGCTGTTCCCTCCAGATTCACCTTTGATGGCTCTTCTAAACGAGCAGGGAGTCTCTCTGCAGCACACACACACGTGTGGGCTCGGGAACAGTTCCTCAGTTTACCTGCTGATGCTCATTGCAACAATGACCGGCTGCCATCCAGATTTCAGGACTTCAGCAAGGGAAGGACTTTGCTTGGCAATAGCAACCCAGAGAGGGATCATGACAATGAAGACAGCACAGATCAGAGGAGAAAGGTATTTCATATCTGGCAAGGAAAAGAAATCTTGAATTAAACACCCCTGGCTTCACAGGTTGCCAAAATCATATTGCACAAAGTCTGGAAGAAAGGCAGCAGGGTTCTTGCTCCGACTGAGTTACATTAGTAGAAAAATCACATGAACCAAGATATTCCCCACACAACCACCTCGCTCCACAACAGAAATCCATAATTAACCCCTGAAACTTGCTGCTAGAGGATGTTATTTGAAAATCAGCAGGATTCAAAGCAAGTTATGTTTGAAGATGAGCAAGTCTCCAATTCCATCTCCAACTAAGCAAGACAAAAAGTTACAAAATTTGTGGCTTCAGGGTACAAATCAAACAGCAGGGCAAGGAGGAAACTCCTGTGTGCAAGCTGCATCACACAACAGACACCTCATGCCTTCACCTAAAACAAGAGGCAATAGGTACTTTTGGTGACAAGCTAGCAGAATTGCTGAGCAGCTGGTCTGCTCTATAGGAACAAATGCTCTCTTGCACGTATACACCAGTTAAGACCCAGGGTTTCTTTCGTGCAAGCTTACATGTGTTTCCATTAGGTGCTTTTTCCATTCAGTAGGGGCATAACCTTGAAGTGACCTTTAGAAGCAAAGGAATTAAAAACATAAGTAGACGTGCAGCACTAAAAGAAAATAAACATGACTCAGAAGCATGGGAAACACCTTCAAGCAATGGGGATGATGCCAACCCTTTTGATATAAAAATGCTTCTTCAACAAAGCTCTCCATCTGGTCTCCGTGTTGGGGCCAAAGCCAGCAGGTTGTAGCTCAGATTTTGCAGGTAATGGGGGAAGACGAAGCAGGCTCAAAATGTGCATTTCTCACAGTGACACTGCCAGAGCCTCAGGCTACCTGGATGAGGTAGCACTGATGCGATGACATCTTCTATGAATCAAGTGCTTTTACACAGAGGTGGACTCTTCACATGTGGCTTTCATCAGTACTGAAATGCAACCACTTCTGGGGTGTAAATAGCTGCTGTTTTGTCAGTGTACTTTACCACCTGGAGTGGTCACTTAGGACAGATGGGTTGTATGACAGACGTAGCTGCGGTACAGGATCTCTCACCTCCCCTCCTTGTTGTTTTAGGCAATTAATTCCTTCTTAAATAATGCAGACACTGAGCACTGGAGTCTATCAAACCTTATCAAAGCCCACAGAAAGACTCCTGGTAGGAAGAATGGACTTCAGCCTCCACATACCAGTTCTGCCACATTCTCTCACGAACAGCCCATAAGCAAGCGGCAACCCTTCAGCTGGTATCTCCACTATGCACGACTGGGAAGAACCAGGGCTGATTTTTAAAAAATCTAAAATCTTCATTGGCAAAGGAGTATTCCGCTGAAGGAGATGGTGCTGCATCAGATGGCACATAGTACTCCTCCAAACTTTACAGACTCACTGGTGGTTTTGAAGGATACATTTTGGTAGGACCCAGAAGTTGTCACAGCATGACCTGTCCCTTACTACACACTGAGGAGGGAAATGGATTTATTCAATCACCATCAACAGTGTTTTCCCTCTCCCTGCTTCACTTCATGCTCCCACTGACCTGGTGGCTGTGTGGTGAGTATTTTCCATCTCAAGAGGCTATTTAAACTACTCTGAAAACATCACAAATGCTCTCTGGTCACAGCCATAGAGGTTATCATGTTGTTCTGCCATGTGCTCCCTGGGAGATATTATCAGGGGTGTAGTGACTGAAAGACAAACTAGCTTTACGGTGTGATGGCGTCACGGAAAAAGCCTATTAAAAATGCACCTCTGAAGCTCAAGGAGGACTGGACGGAAGCGATTCGTGGGCCTCTCCCTGCAACGTGTGTTCCTTCGCTCCCTGGCGTTCTGGCATACGGAACGAGTTACGCAAACTGAGAACAGCTGCCCCGCTGCTTCTGCTCACAGTCTGAAGCAACAGTTTGGGTTTCAAATGATACTGAGTTTGCTGGGTCTTTTTATTTTCCTGTTTCTATTCTGGTTAGGCTCACAGTAAATAGCCTAGCACTTTATAAGCAACAGTCAGGCACATATCATCAAATTGCATCACATTTTGAGCTTTTCAGTGTCAACAGGTGCCCAAGTCTTTGCCAATCACAGCTAACCCCACAGTCACAACTCCTACTCAGAGCCCTGTGAGCATAAAACAATGAAGGAGTGCCTGCCTCCCTCCCTCCCTTCAAGATGATAAAACCTTATTCATCCACAACTCTCCACAAGAGAAGATACAATAATATTTTACAAATGCCAAACCCCTGAAATAGCTTTGTGAGGAAGGACCTGCTATTACCCATCCACAGAAAGTAGTTATGCTTGGCTAGCGACAGATGCAGGAACAGAGTCAGTGTCACATATGTCAACCTTCTGCTCCAAAGCTATGCAACACACGTCTGTCATTTCTTTGACAAATCCCAGTTGTGTTTCTTAGGTTCTGCCAGGCTCTGCCTTTTGGTTTGCTACTAAAGGACAGCCTGGAAGAAGCCTCTGGTCATTTTTCTACCCCAGTGGCATGACAGCCTCCATTCTGAAACATCCCAGAAACAGGTAAGCACCCTGAAATAATTTCAAAAGGATTCATCCCTCCCTTGCTGAGCTGCAAATCACTGCTAAACACTGTACCTATGTATTTGAAGAGTGTACTGCTGATTCCCGCCAGCAGGGAAAGGGTTATCAAGTCTCCAAGGCTTGCTGCTATGGGTGTGGCGACATTGTCTGGATTGATCCCAACTTTCCTTGCTCCGATGATCACACCAATCATCACCAGACCTAGAGAAGACACAGAGCAGGCATCAGAGAATACATCCTGCTGTGTTTCACCCCAGAGCTGCTGTTCTGGATCCCAGAGGGATGTAGGGTCTGGGAAAAGCAAGTAGCAGATTGACTGTAGCGATACCATGCAGCTGTAGACTGGACATCCCCAGGAATTTGTCCTCTTGCTTTCACCAACCTGAAGGGCACGACTCTGCCCTTATGAACTAAACCAAAGGCCCAGAGGCACACAGCAAATTCCAGGGATCAAAGGAGATAGCAGTGGGCAGCCCAAATGTAGAAGCTCCCCTCCCGAGCAGCCTAATCTTTGCTGCCTTGAAGCAGAACCAGGCACGAAGCACACTCATAGATAAGCACGCAGCAGCCTCCTGGTGTCATCCCCTGCTCTGAATTCCACAGCACAAAGATATTTTCCATATTAGACCAGAATTTCTTTGGGTTTGAACCACCAAGGAGCAACAAGCTTCCTTACAGCAGCCTGAATTAGCCTTTTGGCATGACCATCAGACTGACCCTTCATGTCCCACAGTCTTTGGGGCTGCTTGCATTTGCACTAGGTGGATGTTGATGCTGTGAGCAGCTCCAGAGTCAACGGGTTAAAGAGGTGACCCACACCACCTTTCTTCCTGTGTCCTCTGAGCTGCACTTAGAAAATTCAGCTACTTTTCAGCATTATTTCAGCAAGTTCTACTTGCCCAGGTAAGTTAATGAGCACAAACCCCAAACCCTGATGAACAAGTGGGAATCCTTCAGCCACCAGACCACTCACGGGCCTATGGAAGACCCACCTGGAATAAACCCTGCCTGGACAGCTTCCGCTGCTGTGTGACTTGCAAGGGCAGCCTTAAGACAAGACACAAGACATCTCTTCAAAGTCTTTCTGGGGCTGCCAGGATGCACCAAAGGAAGCCTGAGAAATGGTAGTTATCCCCAGCTCACCACCTCTCAGTGCCTGTTTGCACAGGCCCACCAACGCTGAGCCTGCACAGGGGCATGGGCTCCCCCCCTAAGAAATGCCATCTTCCCTAATACAACATCCCTTATACAGAAGCACGTCCTCACACAACATGGCATTCTCCACAAAAACCCTCCCAAACACCCACACTCCCCTCCCCACAGTTCATGCTGCTTCCCTCCCTGCTCATAAAAACAGCAGCTTCCCATCACGCACACCCACGCCGAGGCCACCTGTGACCATGCCCAGGGCAGAAACCAATGCTAGCCGAAAGCCTGTGACGGTTCGGCAGCAAAGCCTCTCTGTATCACACCGAGCAGGGAGATGGAAGGGAACAGTTTAATGAAAGCTGGGCTGCTGGTTTTCTTGTAACAACTGCCTCATCCCGTGTTTTTCATCAAAGGCATCTACAGTCACCCTGTGACTCCAGGGGCAGGACACGCACTTGCTCCAACTTGTCCCTTTCACTCGGGAAACGTGCTGTATCCCCCTCGTCCGGCTCCCTCCATTCAGGGTGTCATGCTGCCCTCCTATGGCAGACCGACACACCATCCTCCTCAGCCCACACCGAGCAGCTCCCACCCATCCCATCCCATCCCATCCCATACCATCACCCATCCCACTTCCCTTGCGAGGGGGAGAGCCAGGGGAGTGGACTGCCCGGTTCGGAGCTCACAGGCACAGGGCTGGCCACAACCCTCTGCGGGGTGTGGGGCCAGAGGAGACCACCCGAGTATGGTCTGGAGCTGCCTGCTAACAGACTCGCCAAACCCCGCTTTCTGCACGGCCTGAGTTCACTCTCCCCTAGGAAAGGGCCAGTGTAGACGGCCGACACGTCACCCAGGGCACATGGAGAAAGTGTGTGTGTGCACCCACGCAGAGCACATGGAATTTTCTGCTATCAGGTGAAGTGGGCCATTTTGATCGCTGCTGTGGATGCTGAGAGCCCAGCAAACAACAGATTCTGGGAGAAGAAAAGCAAAGGCAGGATGCAGAGGGCGTGAAAGCAGCAGACTAATGCTCCCTACTCATGCCAGACGGAAGGGACGTCAGCTGGGCTGCCCTGGTAGAAGGGACAGTTTTTCCCGCACCTGAGTGCTGCATGTTTGATCTGAGGCACCAAAACGACTCACCAAGAGACAGTGCAGCTATGAAGGCTGTGGTGACGCTGCTGGCACACAGCACGGCAGCCTGGCTCAGCTCCACAGAGCCCTTGGAGATGGCTCCCAGGATCACAGCAGCAACAGCAGCCAAGAGTCCCACCACGGTGGCCTGGACCTGAGGGCCAAAAGACAGCTGTTGAGCAATCGTCCCTATCTGCTCCCAGGCAGTTCTGGCTCCATGCGACCGCAGCATTTCCACCCAGCCAGGAGGGCAAAGCCTTGCAGAGATGCTGATTGCTTATGTATTGAAGCAGCATCCCTGTAAGTCTCCACTAGATTAAAAAAAAAAAATAATCCTGACAAAGTTTGGAGAAAAACTGTGGAGGCCTGCAAAGGGCAGATAACATTTCAGCAAAGGACACTGAGTCCATCAGCAAAGGAATAGACCTGGTCAACACAAAAATGGGCTCCCCATCAACACAGCACTCCTAGAGAGCTGAAAGCTGTGGAAGGAGATAAGGGAAAGCACACAGACACACGTTGCAAGCCCTGTGGCCTCGTCATGTGCAACCTCTAGGCTGGTTGCTGGATTTGAACAAGCGGAAAGACCGACAAGAGGCACATTTCTCCCATCTCTCCCCTCCTGCCCAAGGCTGATTCCCAAACTGCCAGTAAATGACAGGTATTAGCTAGGGGCTGTTGTGAAACAGGGACTGTGCTGCAGCTCCCCCTGCAAAAGGAGTACTTTTTCATTATTTCAGTTTCTCCACAAAGTCAGTGAATGTGTAGATGTGTTTTACAGCCAAACAACAAGCTCTGGGGTCACACGGAACTTTAGCGGAGGTCAAGCCCTGCCTCTGTTGAGAATACCTGCCCCAAATCAACATCTCTGTTGGGAACAGATGCTGTTCAGCTGCAGCATAGCAAAAGGGCCTTTTTCTTCTCTCGCTGAAGTGACTCACCTGGATAAGGGCTAAATTGCAGGTAGCCATTTTCCATTGCTTCTGGGCATCATCCATCTGTCCAGTGTTAGCCTAGGAGCCAAGAGAGACACCCTGAAAACCTGTTCCTGTGGCACAAGTGGCTGCTGAGGGCAGTTTCACCTGGTTCCTCTGGGAAAGGGGCTGCAAAAGCCAGAGAAAGGCCAGTGCAGGTCTGCATTTCCCAGCCTTCCCTGCACTTCCTTCTTGACGTATCTCCATGATGCCCAGTGTCCTGGGAGCATCAGAGGCTTACATGGAGGTGCAGAGACATTGCAGGGCACCCAGCTAAAGGCAGAGTAGGCACATCCACTATATCCCGCACAGACCAAAAGGTGAATAAATTATTATTTTTACTCTTTCATTCCCCCTAAAGTACTCTGTTAAGCTCCAATTTCTCCTGAGACATGCAATACAAACAGGCCAAAGTAAACAAAACTGCTTAGGGAGATTGGAAAGATCAAATCCAGAGTAGCAAAAGGTACCCAAAGAAGCCTCAGTCTGCTGCCCCCAAGGTAGGATTGCTGGGAAGCCCTGGGTCTCTCAAGGACCAATACCCACAGAAAAGAAACCCAGTACTGAACCTGACAGCCCTGGCTTTATCGCCTTCATGTGTTCCAGGGCCCCAAATATCAGCAACTGGCCACCCAGGGATTAATTCACCTTCAAAGAGAAGATGGAAATTCCCTGTTCCAGTTACAAAACGAGAGCAAACAGATTATTTTAATACTCACACCCCACTAGTTTCTACTTAGCAGAAAAGGGCACGTCTCATACATACAGTGTCGTTATAGAAAAGCAGAGTCTCCCGATGTCTCCTGCTAATCTCCCCTCTCCCCACACACACCACCGCCGCCCTTGTTAACACTCACAGCAGTAGAGAGCCTGGATGCCAGCGTCATCTCAAGATTACCCTTCAGGCCAACCAGGGCAGGAACCAGGATAAAAACTTCTGTAATTGTCCGAAACACTTCCCAGTGCTGGAAGGAAGAAAAAAAGGAAACAACCTCAGTTTGTGATGCTGACCAGTCTAATGCTGCTGCTTCAAAGGGGAGTAGGTTCCCACCTCGCTACCTGCTCTCCAGGTACCTGCTATGCACATAGGGACAGATGCTACCCTGGTTGCATTTTGGGAGCGAAGGAAGGAATTTGCAGCTTGCAATATTCTTCCTGATCTCATGCACAGCAAAGCACTATCTTAACAGGGAAGGAACCTTCTTCCTGAGGGCAGCAGAAGAATTCAGAAAGCCACAAATTAAAATGTGCCTTTAGCATTAGCCAAGAACAACATGAAGAATAATTAGGGTTCACAAGCCAAATGAAATACAGCATGAGCATGCCCTCCATCCCTTGTACCAACACTAGATATGGAACGCCTATTCCTATCCAGACTCATAAGAATAAACATGAAGATCTGGAAGTGATCGAACAACAAGAAGTTTTGTCTGTCTGTTTTTACCAAACTTCTAACTAAGCATCTAAGACTGGTGGTAGGAGGGAAGGAGGTTTTTGTATCTCTTCGCCACAGGCAGTTCCTAAATTTTCCTGTTACAAAGCATGTTCCCAGCACAGCTGGAAAAAGGATTTTGAATTAAGATATCCCATAAGCCTGAACTGCTGGGCCAATATCTTGATTACCATTGCTCCTCTGAAGCTGAACTGTACAACGCTGTTGAATCAGCTGCAACACTAGAAATGATCTGAAACCTTAAGGAACTTTGTTGATTAACACGTCTTCTTTAATTTATCTACCATGCAGTGCCTTGGAACATAATTCATTCACCCCCCTGTGCATTCAAGGATCACTTGAATCAAAGACCCACTGCAGCCAGAGAGTCTCACATCAGGATGAAATCACAGAGCAGCTCACTGTGAAGTAAAACCAACAAGCCCAATATCTAAGAGCAGAGTACAAGAAATAAAGAGCAGCTGCAATGAGTCAGACCAAAGGTCCATCTAAGCAGTCAAATTCAGATGTGTAAAACAAGAATCTACAAACGAAAGTAGACGGGATAATTTTCCTTTGTATTTTCCAGCCTACGACCAACTGTCACAGGGTACTGAGCTGGTGTGGAGAGGGGGGGTGGTTTCTACACGCTTAGCAGTGTTCAAAGGATTTCTCTTTCAACTAACCATCCCATCTCCTGCCTCCAACCCACATCCTGGGGCAAAAATTTCCATAGTTTAGCTACATGTCATGTGAAGGATCAACCTGTTCATTAATTCTGACTTGTCAGTGACTAGTGTCATATGACAGTCCCGAATTCTGGCACTAGAGGACACAACAAACAGATCCCTGCCCACCTTCTCCACATCCATCGGTTTTCTATAAACCTGAAAATCCAGGAGCTTGAACAGACTCAGTAAATGTCGACACATTCAGCCATCAGCCTGTTGGGAAATGTATATGGGGTGTAACGGCGCGGTGTTTTGCTCTGGTTGTGTCGTGGGAAGCTGTGGGAAGCTGGTGGTGTGGCTGTCTGCTGGGAAGACCTCACAGCTTCCTTCTGAGTCAGGATGAATGAAAGTGGGGTTGAGCCAGCCCTGAGCATGTGGTGCAAGACACCTCTCCAAGGTGCAGATAAGAGGCCAAACATTATTATCAATATAAAAAAGCACATTTCCTGGATTGGTGACCTGAAAACAGGCACATTTCAAAATGTTAAAGGTAAGTTACTGTTGAGTAAAAAACAAACAGGAGAATAGTCACCTTATTTGACACGCTACAGTTTTGTTCAAATTTGTTAATATGGAACTTAAATACTTGATAAAAGCTAGAGGCAGACATCTCTCTTAAAAATTCAAATGCCCCTCTCTCCTCCCTCTTTAATTAAGAATAAAGATCCAAACACATCTTTGACACTTTCAAAAGAGGAGAAAAAACAGACTTCATAGTCACAATGTAAAAAACCCCAATCATTTAAAATACGCACGTGTGCAGACAGTCATATTTAAGACCTTGCATATTTTGCACATAAAAAGACATATAAATAAAAAGCAACAGAAAACCTCAACTGTTTATATTTTCTGTGCATGTCACCTTTGGGAAATATGACCTTGTTACATCAATGTAAGCTCCAATCCTTGTGCTCATGATGAATTTTGCAGGTCTTGAGCCATCATGACAGAAGTTTCAGCATGGGAGGCATGATTTTTTGGGATTCTGCCCTACATATAATTACACTGAAAGGCTTTGAACAATTAATAAAGAATCACACAACTGTACTAATAAAAAAGCTGACTTAATTGCCTCCATTTGAGCTTCATTAGTGACTCACAAAAACCCTAAGGACAGATTTGTAATGATTTATACCACAGTAGCCAGGACTCCATTGTTTTATAGACTGCAGAAATACAGAATAAACAGATGATCCCTGTGCCATCGCCTTGCAGGACTGTCAGCTGGAGGAGTAGGTGAATGTGGCAGGTTAGAGCTGTGCAGGCATGGAGCTGCCTGAATGAAGACAGCTGAGTTGAGTCTAGGAAGTGTCTCTGTCCTTCAGGATAGAAACTGGCTTAGACTGAACAGAAACATTCCCTGCAGAACTGAAAACCCACAGAGGGACACTGAGCCAGAAAAAGATTCTTTCCCACTTCACACCCCCATAATGTTGTTACAGCACTAAAGCTCAACTCTGAACAAACCTGGTTACCTCATGATCCAGTGCAGCTGCTCCCCATGCCAGCAGGATCTGTTCTTGAGGTCCCATAGAGGAAGAGAGGCTGTGATGCACTGAGACAGTGTCCCCAGCTGCAGTCCTGCCCCACTGTCCCTCCTTACAGTCCCACAGTCCCAACCATGTCCTGTTACCTCTCCCAGGCACCTGTCCTCCCATGGCAGCAGCTAAGAAACCTCAGAGGTTTTCCACTGCCCTGAACAAATCAATAGAAGCTGTCCCTCCTTACATTGCCCCCACTGCCCTGAACAAATCAATAGAAAGATCAAAAGATCCTGGACTATAAAATGCAAGCCAGTTCAAAATCCCTTTCAATGCTAATCATCTCATGGGCTTTCATCAACAAAGGACAGGGATATCTCATGTCTGTGACTTCCATTTGGACTGTGTCCCACTGCAGTGGTGTGGGAGGGGAGAATGGAAGGGAAGCTTTCCTCATGAATTCTCTGGTTTGAAATCTGATCGTCCAGCTTCAGTATGATTCTTTGCCTCATTGTAGAGGAGTGGGCCAAACACTGGCAGTGCTCTGCAAGGTCTCCAGCAATGCCAGCCAGCCTGGATTTACCAGCTGGCCAAGGCTCACTGGAGCAGAGGCTGAAATGTGCAGCAAGAAAAGACCCCTACCACGCTACCAGCCCTGCACAGAGACTACATCATCTGCACAACCAAGAAGAGAAAATGGCAGATGGCTATTTCTTTGGGAAGCCTTTTATTCTGGTATGAGACCTGGGTTGGAGCCTGGGAGTCAACTGGACTAGACAAATCTCTCTTCTTGATTATTTTTATTTTATAACAGTAACATGAACAGTCCTTGGTTTTATCCCAGGACAGATCAGAAGCTGCTAAAATCCTGAAAAGTTTGATAGGACACAAACAAGCAATTTCCACTTTGTTCTCCTCATCAGCCCTGCAAACGAGAGAGCTGGTTGGACTTCCAGCACAGAACCCCATTATTTCAAGGTATTTTGTATGTAACAAACCAAGTGCAGCACCATTAAACTCACATGTATGCTGTAGGTACCATCCTTGAGCTTGCCCATATATCTCCCTGTCACTTCCCAAGAATGTTTTGCAGTGACTGCCAACAGGGCAAAGCGTTCCTCAGTCAGACCACCCCCTGAAAAATGGGCAAATCACAGACTCCTGGACTAGAAAAACCTGTAGTTTCAGTTGTGTGAGCCTTTATGATTACCAATAGGAGTCTTATGGTACCTGGCCTCACGCAGAACAAATTTAGTCTCAAGTTTTAGTTGGAGAGAACTGTGAGTTTCTAGCTCTCACACTTGCAGGAAGAAAAACTGAAAATAAGCAGCTCGGATACAAAAAGGCACAGCAGAATAATCCAAATCTTTAAAGGGTAAGATCTCTGGATTTTCCCAGCTGCCGGTTTTGTTTTTCACTATGGGGTTGTGGATGCCACGGCAGCTTACCTCACGAACATCTCCTCTGCCAGTGGTGACTCTCAGTGCACTAGCTCCCTCCTCTGGGAGCTGCACCCACTGACTGATGGCTTCTATTTCAACACAGTTGGAAACACCTTCCCCAAAAAACACGCTTCCGATTATTGTGCTTCATGTGTGACCCCAATTCTAAGAGTCTAGGGAACAAATACACAACATAGACTGTGCTTTGGTACTTAAAGGACACATGCAACATAGGTGTTCATGGCTTGTGTTTTCCATCAGTTTGGATATAGTTACGTTGCTGAACAGAGCCCAAATCCTAGCAAGTGCATTCGATTTCTTTTAAACAAACACCTGTTCACTTGCCAAGGGTATGGAGTGGGTTTGTACTATGTCTGTACCCTTCTCTGAGACACCTGGCCAAAGATAACTGCTAACTATTAGCATAACATCTTGGGTAGTTTGAAACTTCTGTAATGCTGCAAGACAGGTCCGTGCCTAAGCACAAGGTGGAGATGACAAACACAGCACAGTAACAGTGTGTGCCAGTCCAGTTAACCCTTCTTTGATATTCCTCCTATTCACTTTAGTTCAGCTTCTCTGCTTTCTTTGTTTCTTCCAGTGCAAGAAAAAACAGCAAGGTATTGTCTTTCCAAACACTCAAGTATCCATATTTAGCTCCTGCTGTGGTACTAACGCCAGAGAATCCAATGTACTCCAGTGAGCTCAGAGTGCAGGATATATCCTTGGGAAACTCTGCCAGCCTTTTGATTTGTAAATCCACTGGCATGAGATGCCCAAATTAGATCAAATTCTGCATTTCTATTTGTGCCACTGGTACAAAGGAAAGACAGATGGGATAGATTCTGGTTGTGGGCACAAGGGTGTAAATTCAGCAGCACTCCCAGGAAATAAATGGAAGTTATTCCAAATTTACACCTGCCTCAGAATCTGGCCAAGAAGCACTCCGTTTAGAGGCAATGCTAATCTTTTTATGCTGGCATGCCTCTCATCACAGTATCTAAATGCCTTCTAGACCAAAGATTACATTAGGTTGTTTGCAAAGAACTTAAAGCATAAACTTGCTCCTAAGTGAGACAGGTAGTTCATAACAACCCTGACCTAGATCTCCTTATCAGCAATTTTTGACGGAAAGAAATAGTATCATGCAACAGGGGAATACAATGCAGTCTGATTCCAGTTTCTTCATAGCAGTCATCACCGGAGAGAATAGCTAGATACAGTAAAGGGAGCACCCAGTCTAACATACTGAGGGCAGCGTCAGGCAGCCTGTCTGAAAGCCACCAGCCCACTTTACAAGGAGCCCATGTACCGACCTAGAGATGGATAGTGTCTTTCTCGCACAGCAGAAGCCAACCACCGTACAGCTGACTGGCTGCTAGAACCACACACATCAAAAACAAAACCCACCAAATACTCAAGGTCAGTGAAGTAGCCCACCCTCTCACTACAGAGTTGTCTAACCACATGTACCTACTTGAACAACATCCATCAAGAGGCCAGCAGCTACCATGCCCAAACCAGCCAGAAGGAACGGCACGAAAATCTGGGAGGCAATGGAGAATGAAGTCTCTGGGAGAAATCCACTGGCTGACCTGGTCAACTTGCAGGTGAAACCTCTCAGCTTCTTGCCATGAAAGCACAGTTCCAGTTGTAACTGGGTGACCACCATGGTGAAATACCATTACCCCATGCTCAGCAGGGCCAGTGGGGGAGATTAAGACATCACACAGATCCTCCTGGTAGCTCTCTCCAAAGTCAAAAGAAATGTTTTTCCTCAGACTATAGCAATGATGCCAGATTGCTTTAGCTTCTTCTCCTTCTAGGAGCACATCCAGAGGGTTGCAGCAAGGGTATCCTCCAAAGTTGACTCAGCTGGGTTAAGCCCAGGTGGCAGCAAACTTGACGGACACTACTTCTTCGAGTTATATCCAGAGGGGAAATTAAAAACAAGAAAAGAAGATTGCAGAGGTGCCTGTGGACGAATAGAAATGAGCCCACACCCCATTCAGCTCCCACCACCTCGGTAAAAACCAGTAAGACCTGCTCAGGCTACAGCACTGAAAGAGTGACAGGTCATGCAAGAATCCCTCAGCGTGCTCAAACGCACTAGTGTCCTTTCTCCTCAGGTTACATTTCTTGTCCGACTGCGGCTTGCCTTTGATACGATGGTTTAATATGTAAGCCTGCTGTGAACCAGCCCCAGTTCCCTCACTCCCACCATAAGCAACGTTGAACTTTTCTCAGTGTCCCAAGGCCGAGGAGGTGGGGAATTAACAACCAGGATCCGTTTTGCTCTCCCTTCAAGGTGACGAAAGGTCAAGGAAAACATGAGTCCACATTTCTCACAGCTGACGATATTACGCAGGTCCCATCCCCAGGCAGTGACACAGCTAAGCCGGCTGGTGAGAGAAGATCTGCCCTTCTAGACCCTAGCCTCTCTTGTCCCCTCCATGGTCTCCGCGGCATGTAAGGATCGGTCTATGCCAGCTATACCTCTGAATGACTGGCTTTCAGGGGGGGGAAAAAAAAAAAATCCAGAGAACCAGCCAATAAGCTTCAAAAGCGAACACCCTTATCTGCTGTCATCACTTCAACTTTCTGCTAGTTTGCAAAGGCCAAGATAAGAGTCATAGCCAGAGCTTATTTAAGGTAGCTCTGTAATCTCACTACGCCACAGGCAAGGGAGAGAAAGGGTGAACATTTCCACGGCATGCTGTGAGCTGGTCTCCCCTCCTGTCCCAGAGAGAAACCCTCCGCTTTTGCATACTCCCCGGAAATCTTTGAAAGAGGGGATCTCACCCCAGAGTCTCCATGGTCAAACTGCTGACGTGTTTAAGAACCAGAGCGGCATCACGTCCACAAACAAAGATTTTGTATCCTGCTCAGTGAAGACTGAAGTGTGTTTTTCAGCTCAAAGTCATGCATGCAGGGAAGGGAGTCGGGGGATTCTGCTGGGGCTCCTTTCTGATAATTAATTTGGGCAAACTAATTGGACCAGAGGAGCAAAAAGCTTTAAAATCACAATTTAGGATGGAAGGGCACAGGATTGGTTTAATACATTGGCAACTGAGCTTTTTCACTATTCAACCACAGGTTCAAATCCAGCCATGCCCTGGTGAAAGCACGTGAGTGAAAGCAAGTACTCACTGGTAGGCATGAAAGATTCAGGTTTCTCAGTTTCGTTCAAATTCACTGTTTAAACTACATTGCCTTACTAACACTTTTTGTATTAAACAACCCCTTCCCTGACACACTCTTCAGAGAGATGTAATAATGACTTGTGGACTCTGTCCTTGTGACAGGGGCCCCAGCTTGGAGCTAAATGCACTGTCAGGATTGGACAGAAGAAGATAAATAGGGAACTGAGGAAGTTCTCAGGCATTTGGATGGTGCATTTCTTCTGGCCTGAATTCATGCAACCAAAGCACAAAGCCTGATGGGCTGAGATGGCACAGCAGATCCCTGCAAGCGTGGCAGGGTGGAAAACAAGCTCTAGCTACAGATGGGAGACTCTGTCCTTCACTGCTTTCTAGGTTGATATTTTGGTACAGTCCCTGAAACCTTCTCTACTTCTGGCTGGCTTGGCATGTGTACATGGGTCTCTTCCACCTAACAATGGTCTGGTTAGCTGAAAGCTAACAAGGGACTACATTTCAGCTAATGTAACTGGGGGAAAAAAGCCCACAATAGCTGGAAGAGGGAGGTTAATAAAAATCCTGTAATAACCATACACGACCCACCCTCTTTATACCAGCCAGGAACTGAGAAGTCATAACATGAAGGCCCAGTTCAGCTTAGAAACTCACAGGGGCTTCAAGGAAATAAAGGACAACCTCTGGACAACTACCATGGGTTTTCAAAGGTCTAATAATGTGCAGACCTAGGCCCATATGTCACTGTATATGTCAGCAGGCAGAAACGTTAATGTAAAGGAAATATTAACGAGCCAGAATGACTCAAGTGCCATTAAAAAAACACAGCAGCAACACATCCTGTACTAATGCATCAGCCTGGCAGGGTTTATGAGTTTATCACGCTTCGGCTCTTTCTGTTTCTAAGCAAGCACCATAAAAAGCCTTCAAGCGATGAATCAGTATGCAGAGAAGTAATTGGTTCAGGTGACCTGCGTGTGTACACTGGGTCACTTTGTTATGCATTTAAGGAGCCTCCGATAAAGATCCGCACCATATCTGTCAGCAAAGAGATGCATCATATTTTCCTGGCAATGAGATATACCATATTTGTCCACAAAGAGATGCATGAGGTTTGAGAAGAAAGTGAGCGTTGCTGAACAGCGGCAAAAAGATTATAACTAGCTGGGGAAAAAAACATGCCTCCTAGCTGCACCACTCATCATGGCAAAATGTGGGGAGGTACGCTGCTGCCCTTCTCTGCACACAAACACACTGTATTCCTATGTTTGCCAACCAGAAAACAGGTAGCGTTGCTCTGGAGCAGGCAAAGCTGGAGCAGCCTCTTTGGTGAGCCCTGACCCTGATCTAGGT